AGAGAGAGAGAGAGAGATAGATAGATAGATTATAAAAAATGAATTTTCGGTCATTGAATTGGAACCTGGTCGTAAGCATTGGCACTACATACAAGACGTGCTGGCAAAGTTCTTGGCTCGACCACTTCTCTAAATCTAACCAAATATACGACAGAGATATAATTTTTGTCGTATTTGAAAGGGTTTCTTGATCGAAGCGAGGACATTTCAGTGCCTCATAGAAATCGATGTTGACAGGAGATGATAGTAAAAAACAAAAAACAAAAAGAAACGACTTGAAATTCTTCGGGGACGAATGTCTGGAAAATTGTGACGCAGTAGCAGAATAAGAATTGAAATAAAAAAATGACTGACAGCATTCAGCAACAAGTAATATAACTGCCAGTGCCATTGTCTTTGAAAATAATGGACGAGTCTCCAGGAATGTCTCGTGAATAAACTCACAGACACATCTAGAATATATGTACAGTATTTATATAGATAGTTGTATATACATATATATATATATATATATATATATATATATATATATATATATATATATATATATATATTTATCAGAAATATCTCGATTAATGCGAATTCGATTAATGCGTTTTCGATTACTTCGCTAAAATTTTTATACAAAATTCGATTAGTGTATGCATCATCCTCGATTAGTACGTTTTTCAATTTAACTTTATGTTGAAACTTGACTAATGCATGGAATAATAATGCAACACAAAATGTACTTAGAACAAAATGTATTGAAACAAGAAAGTGTACACAATATTTACATATAGTCTTTTGTATATTCCTGGTAAGACCGTTCCTGGAGAATGTGTTGACTGAGTCGCAGTCGGGCAGAGTCTCTGGTTGAATCTCTTGATTCCTGTATTTATATATCCACCCACGAGGATAAAATGTGGCACAAGGCCGGTTTAAAGTGGGTATCTCCGAGCCCGTAGGCTCGGCCAAAAATATGGCCTTTCTGAACCCGCCTAGACGGGTTCAAGACCTGTCTACCACCCCGGACGAAACCCTGCCTCTCGGCAAAGCCTCGTCCGGGTCCCTCACTGCAAAATGCAGAGATTTCGACTGAGAGTGAATCTCTTGATTCCTCCCCTCGTCTTCCCGGTACCAACCATATTTATATGGTCGGTACTCCACTATGCAAATTAGGTGGATCCTACCACAACACTTTAGTAGTTGAAAATTGATTTTTAATTTACCGATTAATTAATTTTTTTAAATTTAAATATGAAAACTATTTTTCTTGTCAATTTTGTTCATATTCGTATCTTAAATGTACACAGAGGCTGAGTTAATTGATTCTATATATATATATATATATATATATATATATATATATATATATTTTAAAGACATTTTTATGTTTAACGTTCTTTTTATAGATACAAGTATTTTGAAATGCTCTGTTTATAATAGTATTAAATAACATTTACCGGCCGGTAAATGTTATTTAATACTGTTTATTATAAAAAAGCACTTAAATACTTGTATCTATAAAAAGAAAGTTAAATATAAAAATGTCTTTTAATAAATAAATTGTCGGACTTTTGTCCATTTCTTAATATATATATATATATATATATATATATATATATATATATGCATACACACACACACACATATATATATATATATATATATATATATATATATATATATATATATATATATATATATATGCATGCATATATATATGTTAAATTTTCATCCAAAACATAATCTAAAAATATTTTATGTCTTTAAATAACATACAAATGGTTGACAAGAGACAAGAGTTGACAAGTAAAAAAAATGCCACCTATGGTTCTTATAATATTTGTGTATTTCGGCAGCAAATTCTCTTTTAGACATGATTAAATCACAGACATTTTGTCTGCTAATATTTAATAAAATCTGTTCATACTCACGAATAACCATCCTTGTATCGATGCTGAAGGACGAGAGAAATGTGCTATAGCTGTTTAAGCTTCTTTTATTTTCGATTATAACATAAAAGGAAAAATTCCATTATGGATAATTTTTTCACGTTCAAATAAACGCTCAGTACATGTCAACTGCTTTGCTTTTAAAAGCATAATGAAAAAAATTACGGTAATGAAAACAACAGACATATAAATACTTATACTAATGAACAACATATAGTTTTGTACCACGTGCATCCCTGAAGATGTTCTTGGAAAAAGACCGAAAACACTAGCCGCTCTAGTAGACGGGTTTCCTCGAATACGACTGGCCATCTCTCTCTCTCTCTCTCTGTATATATATATATATATATATATATATATATATATATATATATATATATATATATGATTATTCATTTAAATTGGCAAAAATAAAAGGAAGTACTATGTTGTTTTTTTTAACCCAGGCATAGTATATACCTGCTAGTAGGTAGTAAATATTCCGCTAAAAATTCTTCGGTTATGGTGTGTCATAGTAACACCTGCTCGTATCCTTGAACCGCTACACGATGTTATAACACTCGCTCGCTGAACATTATTATTAAAATACACTTTTAAGTACCGAATCTAGGTGTGTCGTCAGTGTTGTTGCTCCCATGTCACTAGAAGTTTCGGGTCTAAATAAACAACAGACTTCTTCAATGGGCCGCCCGCGCCCAGAATAAAATTTGCTACTAGGTTTAGGATGTGCATTATATAAGTTGTCCCAGTAAACAGCAATCAATCAAGACTTCACTTGGTCTATTCGATGTTATAGATTGGGTATGCTTTGTTGAACTGATCTTCCTACATGCGGCCAAGACAGGATGGTTTTGGGAAGAAGAGACATACACGACCAGAACATCGTTACACCTGTTCAGCTGCCAATAATTCAGTAAGAAAATCGATGCGCTGTTCCAGCGGAATAGTACCTGCCCAGAAGATTCCCATACTACTGAACATGCACTGGTCAGCACGATTGAAAAACCCTATTAAATAGGCATGTGACATGAAGGGATGTATCTAGAGTCATTCAGTCGACCCGCCTACAAATCTTATCCTATTGTCGCAAAAGGTGCAAATGACATTTCAGGTTGGTATTAACTGTCTCTGACTTATCGCATGCATGTCAGAGTATAGGCCTGTGATAACGCACACCGAACATATATATTGTATTGTGTATTATGATACCACTTTATTTTGGCTCCTGTGTCCGTATTGATGTGGCTATTTACTTAAATCTGACTATATTACATCTACATTTAATATTGATTATTCTGAACCAATTCCCATTACAATATCCCCCATCAGACACGCGCCCACACACACAAACACAATCACACGCACAAACACGAATTTATATATATATATATATATATATATATATATATATATATATATATATATATATATATATATTTAGAAATGTCGATCAATAAAATTAACTGACGCAAAATGCCTGTTGCCTTTAATAACATTTGGCTTAAGGAACATTTCCAGCCTTGATACATACACCAATATATGTATATATATATATATATATATATATATATATATATATATATATACTATGTGTGCATGAAGGCTCTCTCTCTATATATATATACACACACACACAAACATATATATATATATATATATATATATATATGAACAGGACAAGATGGAAGGATATGTATATATATATATATATATATATATATATATATATATATATATGTGTGTGTATGAAGGCTCTCTCTCTATATATATATATCTATATATATACCCACACACAAACATGTATATATATATATATATATATATATATATATATATATATATATATATATATATATATATATATATATATTTAAAAAAATATAATTATAATTTAAGCTCTACTTCGATAAGACTAAAGAGCTCCGGATTATTTACCTAACGTGTTCTTTCCTATTTTTCTATATATATATATATATATATATATATATATATATATATATATATATATATATATGCCGGGTGTAACAGCAAAACTGTCCAAATCGAAGAGCAGCACAAAATATCCGATTGTTGGATTAAGCATTTTATCTTAGAAAGGATTAAATATATGTCATTGGAATTCTCTGAGGGTTTTTTTTTTAACACTACTGAACTCTATTTTGAACAATAAGAATGTATTTAGTTGAAACGATGTGCCCTCTTCCTGTTTTGACCATCCAGTTTTGCTCTTGACTGTTCCCTGTTTGTAAAATTTATTCATCGTTCTCTGGATGGTTCTTGAATGGATTTTGAAGATGGAAACCAGACTATGAATGTTGGTAACATTACTGAAGGTCTGAACGATCTTTTTCCTCCTGCCATTGCTCAGTTGGGAAGACATAGTGGGGCTGACACAAAACGATTGTAACCTGTTCTCTTTCTAGCTGAATAACTCAAAGGGTTTTTCAGTGATTCAAATAACAAATGGTGTCAAAATGGCTAAACGTCTTATCTGAACATCTGGAAAAATGAATCTCAATTAGTTTAGTGTTTTTTAGATATTAAACTTTGTGGGATGGTCAAATATCCCATGCTGTTACACGATTAGGACAATTTTGTTTTTAATAACCGGCATATATATATATATATATATATATATATACTTAGAAGCACATGAGCACACACAAATATATATATATATATATATATATATATATATATATATATATATATCACCATTCCTGATTCTATAAACGATCCAAAAAATGAGAACCCCTGACCGTAACGCGTTATTGCAGTAATTGTTTTGCACTTTATACACACACACAAGTGTGTATATGTATATGAGAAAACGATACTTCATTTTATATATATATATATATATCAATAAAAAATTTAGGAAAATCTATAACAAGGTGGAAAAACCTTACAGTTAACGGGTTTCGCCCTTTAGGACCTCCTAGGACTGAAATGAATGAGAGGGGACCCTTAAATTTTAGGCTCTTTCGGCGTAAACATCACTTTAGTACTATGAAGTCCTAAAGGTCGATACACGTGGCACAAAACTCTGTCGCATTCTCATAGATTTTCTATCTATCTATCTATCTATCTATCCATCTATCTATCTATCTATCTATCTCTATATATATGTATGTGCGTGTGCGTTCGTGTGTGTGTATGTGTGTGTGTGAAATATGTGCCCAATATTTATTTATTAAACTCAATGTCGTATTAAGTCTATCGGCCTGTGCATTCGAGAAATCGCATTAAAGAAAATGCGTTCCCCAGTTAGGATCGAACATATGTACCATTTATAGGCAAAACCAGCTTGGCCATAAAGAACATCAGAGCTAGCAAGGTTCTATTTTCGCCTTTTACGGAAAGCACTTACTCTTCACCAAGATTATTTTCTCGAACGATTTATATTTACTTAGTTTCGTATCCGGAACGTAAACAAAGCAATTGGTTTAATATATTCATATTCAGCATGACCGATTGTTTAGGACGTTAGCGCTCCGACTATAAAACACGGGTTCGAATCTAACCATGCGCGAGTTACAAAGGCAGTGATTTCTTGAGAATTTCAGCTTGAGACGATTCTAGTTGGAAAGTGCCTAAAAACTATACTGTCGGTTAACCACGGATTGTGAACGTAATTGGCTGAATAGAGCTTTTCGGAAACGGCGGATGTTTCAATCTGTTGACTACGCCGGATTATGGACCCTCACCCTGACAATGTGTAATGGATGTCAGGTCAGCACAGTTGCAGTATTGTGGGTGTTGAACGAACACAATTATTGCTAGGCTTGCGTCAGAAAGCGACAACAACAAGCAGGCATACCCGGATGCAAATGGCCATCTGAATGTATTCAATATTTAACCAGGACTTCACTGATTACCGACACAATCTTCATTTTCATTAGAAATTGCGCATCTACCATTCTAACGTTATTTATTTATTTATTTACTTATGTATCTCAGTCTGTTCAGATGTATGTATGTATCTAAGTTTTTTCGTATCTATCTATCTATCTATCTATCTATCTATCTATCTATCTATCTATCTCAGTCTGTTCATATCTATTTTTATAACTATTTATCTCAGTCTGTTCATATCTATCTATCTATCTATCTATCTATCTATCTATCTATCTATCTAAGTCTGTTTATATCTATCTATCTATCTAAGTCTGTTTATATCTGTCTCATTCTGTTCATCTCTATATCTGTTCATAGCTTTCTATCTATCTATCTATCTATCTATCTATCTATCTATCTATCTATCTATCTATGTTTCTATCTATCTATCTACCTATTTATCTATGTTCATACCTATTTATCTATCTATCTATCTATCTATCTATCTATCTATCTATCTATCTATCTATTGAAGTCTGTTCATATATATATATATATATTTATATATATATATATATATAAGTCTGTTCATATGTATGTATGTATGTATGTATGTAGCTATCTATCTCCAGCGGCCTGTTCGTATCTATCTGTCAGAACCGAAAGATATATAATGAATTATGACAAAATAGAGGGTGAGTTGCTGAAGAAAAGGGCGGATGGGTAGGGGTAATTTGTAGAAGCGAGAAAAAGAGATATGCATGATAAGAATACGTATGTATGTGTGCGTAATATAATGGATATCGTTTCGGAATGAAAAAGCAGAGAGCCGAGTTCGAATTCCAGTCGAGTTCATTGCTTGTCCATACGCACAAATAACTTTGGGAAAAGTATGAATCCTTTCCTTCTCTCCTCGGCAATCGGCTAAATCGCGGAATAGACTGAGTTCTATGTCCTTGGTGGTCAACCATTCTACAAATGGAAACTCGTTAAAAAAAAAAAAAGAATACCTCCTGCAGCCTTGGCCACTCGTGTGTATGTATGCCACCCACGTAAAAAAACAAAAAACAAAAAAAAAAAAAAAAAAAAACGCACAGTTACTGAAATCCTTCATTCGTGTGATTTACGCATTCTTTCGGAGAAAGGATTTCGCCTCATGATAAGATAGAGGATGAGTTGGTGAAGTAGTAAAAGGGGGAGGGAGGAGAAAAGACAAGATAGAGATGAAGTAAGAGAAAAAAGGAGGAATGTGGAATAAAATAGAGGAGGATTTGGTGAGGAAAAGAGAGGAGGAGAGTTAAGATATGCAAAGAGAAAAAGAGAGAAATATATGATAAAATAGGGGCGGTGTTTGTGAAGAAAGAATAGGAGGAGTAGGTGGAGGAGGAGAAAAAATATGATAGAGATGGAGTAAGAGAAAAAAAGAGGAATGTGAAATAAAATAGAGGAGGATTTGGCGAGGAAAAGAGAGGAGGAGATTTATGGTATGTAAGGAAAAAAAGGAGAAATGTATAAAATATAGAGGATGTGTTTGAGAAGAAAGAAGGGGAGGAGAAGGAGGAGAAGCAAAGATAGAGTTGGAGTAAGAGAGAAAAGGAGAAATGTATAATAAATAGAGGAGGATTTGATGAAAAAGAGAGGAGGAGAGTTAAGTTACGTAAGGAGAAAAAAAAAAAAATGTATAAAATATAGAGGGTGTGTTTGAGAAGAAAGAAGGGGAGGAGAAGGAGGAGAAGCAAAGATAGAGTTGGAGTAAGAGAGAAAAGGAGAAATGTATAATAAATAGAGGAGGATTTGATGAAGAAAAGAGAGGAGGAGAGTTAAGTTACGTAAGGAGAAAAAAAGAGGAAATGTATAAAATATAGAGGGTGTGTTTGAGAAGAAAGAAGGGGAGGAGAAGGAGGAGAAGCAAAGATAGAGTTGGAGTAAGAGAGAAAAGGAGAAATGTATAATAAATAGAGGAGGATTTGATGAAGAAAGAGAGGAGGAGAGTTAAGTTACGTAAGGAGAAAAAAGAGGAAATGTATAAAATATAGAGGGTGTGTTTGAGAAGAAAGAAGGGGAGGAGAAGGAGGAGAAGCAAAGATAGAGTTGGAGTAAGAGAGAAAAGGAGGAATGTATAATAAAAATGAGGAAAATTTGGTGAGGAAAAGCGAGGCGGAGGAATGTGTAATAAAATAGAAGAGGATTTGGCGAGGAAAAGAAAAAGGGAGAGTTAAGATATATGAGGGAAAAAGAGAGAAATGTATCATAAAATAGAGAGTGTGTTGATGACGAAGCAAGAAAAGGAAAGGTAAGGGGAAAAAGTGAGAGAAAAGAGAAAGGTGTGATAAAACAGGACGAGATGATGAAGACTAGAGAGGAGGAGTAGCAAACTGCAGGCGGGTGAAAAAGGATAAAATAGAGGATGAGTTGGTGAATAAATAGGAGTAGTAAGAGATCTGGTATAGGAGAAAAAAGACGAGCGTGTGGTAAAAATTTATAATCAATTGAAGAAGAAATAAAAGAAGGAAAGATCGAATTTAAAAGAGGAGGAAGAGGAAGTTATGATAAATCCGAGTGTGAGTTGTAGAAATAGGAGCACATCTAAGATATAGAAGGAGGAAAAAGAGAAAGATTTGGAAAAACAAGAGAGGAATTAATGAAAAAAAAGAAAAGAAGGAAAAACAGTGAAAACCATAGAGACAAATAATAATTTAAAAAAATACAAAAGTAGGAAGCAGAGTTAGGACGAAAGTAAATAACATACACATTGGAGGAAGAAGTCCGGCAGAATCCACCCGAAAATAGAACGACGAAAATAGGAAATATTCAATACAGCAGCAGGTTTTTGATAAAACTAAAATAAAATAAGGTATAAAATACGTTTTTTTTTTTTTTTCAGATAAAGTTTTAAAATTAACTTAGCCATTTTATACGAAGCCCAACCACAAGTGTTTTCCTTTCCGGTAAGAAGATGCAGTCGATATTTATTTGTTTTTGTTTTTTGACTAACAAAACTTTGCTTCGTCTGGCACGAAGCCACACTAGTGAAGCATACACCAAAAATTATATGTATAGCTGGCCACTCGTATTCGTGGAGACCCCGTCTAGTAGGGCAGCTAGCCAATCCCTATTGCAGACGCTTGCTCAGGCGCATTTTGTGTTTATCCAACACCCGCTGAGCCCACCTGAGGTTTATACTGCAGCTATGCTGAGCAGACCTTAGTTACAGTTTCTGAGAGGGAGAGAGAGATAGAGAGAGAGATAGAGAGAGATAGAGAGAGAGAGAGAGAGATAGAGTGTGTGTGTGTGTGTGTGTTTGTAGATTCTCCTTTGTATTTTATCTAGGATCTCTAAATAAAGAACAGAAGTAAGATGTGGCAGTAATATTTAAAAAAAAACTTATTTCTATCAATAATGATTTCAATTATACTGCTATAGTAACTATAACTATATATATATATATATATATATATATATATGAAAGAGAAATTTTCCCATCTTGGTATGAAAGCTAATGCATAGAAAAATGACAATTTTTTTTCCTATGTAATAATAGTCTTGTAATTGGAGAAAACACTGATAAGAAATTATCTCTTCATTGATTAATGTAGTCTTGTGCCAGACTTAATTCGGACCAACAAATACCATTTGGCATTTCTGAGTTTTATCTCTCAGCTATTTATAATTAATCTTCTTTTTTTTTTTTTTTTAATCATTTCAACCCAAACAAGGCAATACAACCACTTAAATGCAATGGGTTACTGAGCGAGAGAAAGAATATGAGAAAAAGAAAATATAATTAGGGGAGAGAGAACAATAAAAGAAGAGGAATCAAGAAGACAGAAGATAACAATTAATATTGTATTTAAATTTTTGAAGATCAAAGTTGAGTGGGTAAGCAAAAAGTTATAAGACATATCCACAAGTGAGAAATGTGAGAGAAGAAATTGTTTGTATAAAGCTTATGGTTACATTGAACCATTTCAACTGTAAATTGATGAGACGTTGATATCAATCTAGTAGTATGTTTAAATTCATTAAGTCTAGGTACTGAAGAGGAAATCTCATTAGAACAATTACCATGAAAATTATAGAAAAGGAACAGGTAAGCTACATTACGACAATGGGAAAGTGTAGCCTAGATGCCAGGTCAGGATCAATAACATTGCAGATTCTTCTTTGGATCTCTAAATACAGAACAGAAGCACTAGGCAAGATGTAGCAGAAATATTAAAAAAAAAAGATTCTTATTTGAATCAATTATGAATACAACTTTTACTATAGCAGGATAGTTTTTTCTATAATTACTTCATGAACATTAGTTAAAATGTACAATTATATTACCATGCTTGCAAAATTAAACTTTACAAGTTCTAGACTGAACATAAAGATAAAAGGTCATTTCTTGCATCAAACATGAATTTCCCTAAGTCATGATATAAATCCATATTATATGACGAAACTACACCTACAAGATAATTCAAAGATGTGTTGATTGGCTGAAATTGAAATATGATTGTTTTTGTTTAGTGGCATATCAACCTCTATGCATTATTTAATGCCGAAATCTAAATATTTTGTACGCAATTTTATCTTAATTTTGGAGATAGTAATTGTTTAGTAAAGCAGGTTTTAATAATAAGGTCTTAATAATGTCATCCTTTTCCCAAGGACATTTACGCGTAAGTAAATATAACGAACCGAATACTAGCCACTAGCCGAAAATCCAAGCTTACATCACCTGGCATCCAAAGCAGGGATTGTAAAGAACGAAGAGTTACTTATAAAATTAGAAAAGCAGGAAAGTGTGGAGAGCCACTATCAAAGAAAAGGAAGGCAAAGGAACCGGGAATCATAAAATTTCCATTATATTTCAGTTTAAGAATATCTTAAATTTATTAAAAACGATGTTGCATGATGCAATTTAATTTCTTTTTAAGTGTATTACATCCTTGATTACTTCCATGTGGCGTAATGGTTAGCAAGCTTGTCACTTACAACTAAATAATGAGTTCGATCCTCACTAGGTGCCCCAAACTTTCGGCTCTGTGACAGATATAAGTTTTCACTATATGTATTACACATTATACTTCCTTGCCTACTATGCGTGATACACATATCTCTTTTCGATTCCTCATTGACTTGGCAGAGGAATTCCCGCAGTAGGCTGCCGTTACTTTGTGCCGTAGACTGGTTTCCAACTAAGCCTATAGAATCCATAGCTAGATGGTGAATAAATTGATACGCATCTTTGCCGAGGGTATTCATGCGTAAGTGAATACAAAAAACTCACCTCTCCGATTTCTCATTCCGTTATCCATCACACCCACTGAGCATCTAAGGTTACAACCTCTAGTATTGTCAGTCTTTCACCCATCTAGATACTGACCAGATTCGGCGTTGCTTAACTTCGGTGATCAGAGGAAAAATAAAATATTAATAATAATGTATGTATAGCAGGCCACTCGTATTTGAGGATACTCGGCTACTAGGGCGGCTACCCAATCCCTATTCCAGACGCTTGCTCAGGCACATTTTGTTTATTCAACACCCACAGAGCCCATCTGGGGTTTATACTGCAGCTATGCTGAGCAGACCTTAGTTACAGTTTCTGGGAAAGAGCCTGATACCTAGCGTGATCAACAAAAGATTGCACCCATCTAGGTACTGATCAAACTCGAAGTTGCTTAACTTCGGTGATTGTGCAAGAGCCAAAGTGATGTGACTGCTATTTCTTTTTGAAGTTATTTTGAATTACTTTGGTATCACCGTTGCTTTTATTTTTAAAACCATTTCACGCAAGGCAATATATTCACTAAGACGCAAAGGGTTACTGAGTGTGCGAGAATATGAGAAAAAAATAGAAAAAAACTATTAAGGGGAGAGAGCAATAAAAGAACAAGAATTTAAAAGAGGATAGATAACGATTGACATTGCATTTAAATATTTGAAGATTGAACTTGACTGGAAAGCATGAAGCCGGAAGAGATTTCTACAAGCGAGAAGTGCTAGAGATAAAACTGTTAGCATAGAACTTATGGTTAATTTTAGCCATTTAAACTGTAAAATGATGAGCCCTTGCCTCCAATCTAATACTGCACTTACATTCATAAAGTCTAGGTACCATAGAGGAAAGTTCAACAGAATAATTACATGAGAGTATTTGTAGAAAACGGACAGGGAAACTACATTATGGCAGTGGAAATGTTACTGAAGTCGATATGCCAGGTCCGGACTAGTAACATTGCATATTATTCTTTGGCTTTCATTAAAAATCTCTAAATATATAGCAGGAGCACCAGACCATATTATACTAGTCGTAATTTGGCGAGGAAAGGAGATATAGTGTGTGATCCTGGACATAAAACTTCTTTCTATTTTAATCAAAATCACATCCTTAATGTAAAACAATTTTTCATACCTGTTTTGATAAAAAAATAATACATTAAGTGTATTGGTTAATAAAAAAAAATGCATTCGTAAAATCATTCATTTAACATTTGTGTATATTTTCTTTTAAATTAGGGTTCCTCTATGTACCAAGCTATAGACTAACTTAATCTGGCCCTGATTAATTATAGATTTGAAAACGTTTTGTATGAGATAAAAAAATCGAGTCATTTCAACTATAAAATGATGATCCCTTGCCTTCAATCTAATACTGCACTTACATTCATAAAGTCTAGGTACCATTGAGTGATATTTATTTGCATAATAATACAAAATGGGGCAAAAGGCCAAAAAGGGGAATGGGGAAAAGGACGGTCTTCTTCTCTCTTAATATTAAACTTATCTAGTCGCAAACACAGACCCAAACGTATCACAATATTCCTAACACCAAAACAATGCATTCTTACTTATCTTTCTTACTACATCCACCATAATACCTCAGTGTCTCTATGAAAGTCCTAACTAGTTGCCATATGTACAATTCATTGTCCTGGGGGTGGGGAATGAAACAACAATTTAAAAAAAAGCTAGAGTCAATGAGTATTTACAATATGAAAACAAAACTATTTACAAGAAACCAAATAAAATAATAATAGCAAAGAGCTCATCCGAACAATTACCATGAAAGTATTCATAGAAAAGACACAGAGAAGCAACTTTACGACTGTGGGTAAGTGACTGAAGCCGAGATGCCAGATCAGGACAAATAATATTGCTGATTCTTCTTTGGATTTTATCAATAAGCTCAAGGTAAATAGCAGGGGCAACCGGGGCATATGTGGCAGCAATATTCTAAGCATGGACAAATGGTAGACTTATAGATGTGTCAAATAGATTTTGGAGAGAAAACTTTTCACGCACGACACAGTGAACCAAGTTACTTAGCAGTCCTAGTGACATTCTAGATTCTGTGCATAGAAAGTCACCATTCTTTTAACATAATGTAAACAATTTCCCTCGAAAGTATCGTTAAGACATAGACGCCTTAAAAAGATGGTTTATAAAATCATATGAATCCCATGATGCATTTATTGAAAACAAAACCCTAACTGTAAAACCTATGGCAATATAAGGCTATTACGTCTATTACTAATAGTGGACATAAAAATGCAATATGACATTAAATAAATCGTTATAGGTAAAATGCATCTAAATGAGAACATATCAATTTTTATCTACTGGATCTAATTGGGTAAATGCTGTTTATATCAAACAGGTATGTGATGAGTATTCAAATTTTTGGGAGATTAGAATAACAATTTAAATGCCTAAACACCAATAAGGAATGTTCATAGGAACAATTACCATGAAAGTATTTATAGAAAATGCAGAGGGGACCTACATTTTCGGTGGTGGGAAAGTGAATGAAGCGGCGATGTCAGGTCAGGTTAGGGTATTAAAAAATGTATATCAATGTCGTTTTCTCACAGGATATTTCTAGCGCTGAAGTTGTTGTTTTTTTTCATTTTTGCATATAAGACAGACTGTGAGCAGAAACACCAGTCGACACTTCGAGACAATTTTTAGCCAAAAATGCATCACTCACAAAGTTAAATGAACGATCCGTATTACGATGTTACTTCAAAGCAAATCACTGATTTATCAGCTTTTGCTACTAAACGGCCTTTGTCTGTGTCGACCGTTAAGGAATAGACATTTATTATTTACAAAGTAAAAAAAAAAAAATGAAAATCGGCGCTATTACACTTTCGCACCTCACTTAAAAAGTAAAACACAACCAGATAATTTACATTATTCAGACTATTGTCCTCATCTTTGTCGCCATATTTATCTCAACGTTTCGGCCGTTGTACGCTCCGGCTTTCTTTAGGTGGTTGGAATGTCGAACTGAACCCTTTATTTCACTCACCGAGGTAGACTGTTCGAGTTCCACAAAAGTTGCAACATGAGCTCTGGTAAAAACATGTAGATAACAGCAAAAATTGCAATATGAGCACTGGTAAAAATGGTTGCTGAGACATTAGGTTTATAATACTCAGAAATTCATGCAAAGATGTCCTCAAGGACACATAGCACAGTAGATAAAGGCATTGGTTAGATCCAGTGACAGAACCCAAAGAGTGTGGTTAAGGCAGTAGAGAACTTTCAGAGGGAAATTAGCAGGAGATAACTGATAACTGACATCCATTAAAACATGGCACGTGGAACTAGAAGTGTCTACCCCAGTGAGCGAAATAAAGGGTTAAGTTCGACATTCCAACCACCTGAAGAAGGCCGGAACGTACAACGGCCGAAATATTGTGATAAATATGGTGACAAAGATGAGGGCAACAGTTCGAATAATGTAAATAATGTACATAATACCTCATCTCAGAAATATAGACAGATACAGCCAGATAAATTTACAAAATGAAAAAAAAACTTATTTTTCACACAGTTTTTTAAAAGCTTAACTTCATAAAATTACTTAATAAAATTACTTCATAAAATTAATTCAAAATAACAACAGTTGGACTGTTGCAATTATTAATAATTAAATTTAATTTACAATCACTAGCAATGGTTTTAAAAAGCTTCTGTAAATATGTCTCTGCTGTCAAAAGTTTATGAAAAGAAAGTTAGAAAGATAAAGAAATGAAATTAAAATCCACAAATTATGAAACAAATATTAAGTAAAAAAGGAAATCTATTTGTATTTGTAATAAAAACAACTGAAGACGTGTCGTTGACACTGTCATGGCGGGTGCGTAAGTATAATAGCGGCTAAAAATCTTTATATGTAGATTCTTTATCCGAAATTTATTCGTCAATAAAAACGTATCAAGACCCTGAAACCCGTGATTTGGCCGATTCAGTTTTGTAAAACATAATCATTTAAACATAATTGCTTCTTCTGTTTTAATTTTTATTTTATTTTTTGGAATTAAAAAAAAAACTATGTTTATTTTAGATTCTGTCTATCCTATTCTCTTTCCATTATGTTTTACTTTCCTTTGATTGATGCGCTTTCTATATTAAATTGTAATTTATAAAATTTATGGGCTTTTCCTCGGCTTTTATCTTGACTTGTCCAACAATGAGAATCACTTTCACGGAAATAAATTTTTTTCATTGCTTTTCAAAAGGAGCAGATCGGTCAGAATTTGTAGTTTTAAATTGCGTCTGTTTCAGTGATTCTAAAAGAAGGGAAGAGAGAGAGAGAGAGAGAAAGAGAGAGAGAGTGGGGGGAAATAATTAAACAGAAAGATGATACACTGTTAGACAGGAAGGAAGGAAAACGATATTGTTGCGTTCCCTGTTACTAATTCAGTTTTTCCGATATCAACTTGCTACTTGTAATTTTACCTGCCGAGACAGTTAGCTGGGACCGACCTGAGCCGGCTCTGTCAAACGAAGGACGTCCAAGTTCATAGGAGGAATTCCCCAAGTCGCATGTTGACAGACTTCAGGATAGTGCAATCCTAGCCGTTCCAAGCTGGTTTGAATTCAGAGTTTTCCTTCTTCTAGACTGGTTGCCAACAAATCTGTCCTAGCTATTTATCTATGGAAGGGATATGTGCATTCATACCTACCGCAAAATATGAACTCACGTACATGAATGCGATCGACTTGAATTCGAACTCGACTCACTGATTCTTTAACCCGAGCCGTTATCCATTACTCACCATGTCTCACTATCAACTCCACATCATAAACTGTATCAAAAAAGGAAGATTCCCTTTTTATCAAGATTCGCTTTATTATACAAGAGGGGTAGACGTGGTAGATTCGATTCTAGGATGTAGCGGGAGAAAATAGAGGAATGTACGCTGACTCCTTAGCTTTGCATTTTGCCATGTGCGGTGTAGCCTCTCTAAGGAACCAGGGCACGGCAGGTGTGTTGATAATTCAAAATTCTCGCAGGACGACTGTTCTCTTGGCATAGTTCTAGACATATATCTTTAAACAAAGACAATTCATCACTGTCAAAATTCCACGCTGACGAGGCATTCTGACCCAGCATTCTGTAACAGCGTATACAAATGAGAGAAAGCGAGGGAAGGAGTGCATGCGAGAGAGAGGGCGTAATAAGATCTATCTATCTATCTATCTATCTATCTATATATATATATATAGAGAGAGAGAGAGATAGAGAGAGAATGTGCATATAAACGAGAACGTGAAAGATAGATATATAGAGAAAGAGATAAAGAGAAAGAGAGACAGAGACAGAGATGGAGAGAGAGAGAATGTGCATATAAACGAGAAAGTGAAAGATAGATATATAGAGAAAGAGAGAGAGATAAAGAGAAAGAGAGAGAGAATGTGCATATAAACGAGAAAGTGAAAGATAGATATATAGAGAAAGAGAGAGAGATAAAGAGAGAGAATGTGCATATAAACGAGAAAGTGAAAGATAGATGTATAGAGAAAGAGAGAGAGATAAAGAGAGAGAGAGGGAGGGAGGGAAGGAAGGAAGGAAGGAAGGAAGGACAGATGTTAGGATTTGCTGTTTGCGTAGAAAATTAATATATCAGTAGAGGTAATTTGTTATAAAATTTTCTTCCAGAGCAAACGGCAGAACAAAAGATGGCACATTTTGTCAAAGAAATAAATACATCCAATCAAACCAAAACTAATCCTAAAAAAAAAAAAAAAAATTAAAAAAATAGAATTTGGTAAAATATCACTGTGCCATAATATGACGCTCGACGTGGCCCTCGCCTCCCGTGTCCATGGCTTCGAGACCCGCGCCCACAGGACCATGTAGATTGTGCTACTGGTCCGATCATGTGTTCAATGAGAAGCTTCGCCGGGGTACCCTCCAGCTGAACCATCGCTCAGCTGGCTCGGTCATCCTACCAGTCATATACCAGTTCGACCCGCTAGAAGCACATCGTCTTCCAGGACTCCCAGCAGATTAGTCATGCGCTGTAGGATATTCCGACGCTCTACCAAGACCATAAGAGTAGGAGGGAGAAGGTGGTTCTAGTGGACTCAAGGACTTCAGAGTACTAGCAGCATGACTGTTAGTATCTCTATCTATAAAAGCAGGATGTGTATGTGTGTGTAATGAATGCACGGCCGCAATTTTCGACAAATTGGCACCAAAATTTAGATGCACATACTCCAAGTTAGCGGGAAGGCCAAGACCGACTTTGCATTTCCCAACTCTCATCGATAGTGGAAATAATCGATTTTTTCATGCTTCTACGGCAGTTTTCATGTAGTTTGCGGCCATTTTCTACTGGCCAGAGTGCTGGCTGCCGCGAATAGGCAGGATGATTTTATTGGCCAGCGTGAGAGCCAACAGCTGATGGACACGAATGTTAACTAGCATGCTGGCATGCAAAAAAGTCGATAGCTGCATTCGTCAGAAGTGGGAAAAATTTAAATCTGCATGGCACTTTACTCCAATTGGCTCATTCGCTTGCTTAAACTCAACGTTGATTCTGATTCCGCAGAACTAGGTTGGGTTTGAAAAAGTATTTGTTGTTAACATTCTTTTTTCATTCGGTTTCTCCAGTTACGAGTCCTTTTTTAAAGCTGATCGTTTTAGGTTCATTTTGTTTAGTTCTTTTTTCGTAATAGATTTAATGTTTAGTATAGAGCTTAGAAAAATTCGCAGTGTAAGAGAGGCAAGAAATAAGGCATGTAGCAACATCAGCACGGCAAAGGGCACTCCTTTAAAGGCAAGGAAGGGAAAAATATTTTAAGTCAAGTGATAGCGATTGTTGTATGAGTCGTACGATTTTTGAATCAAGCACGGGCAACGCCGGATCAGGCTGCTAGTAAATAACAAAATGTATCTGTTAAAAGTAATCATTAGAACTTCTTTTTGAGAGAGAAAATCTGATGTATAGAAATTCAAGGAAGAGATAGATAGATAGATAGAGAGAGAGAGAGAGAGAGAGAGAGAGAGAGAGAGAGAGACGGAGTGATGAGAGAGAGATGTGGAATAAATAGCTATGAGTTAATTACAGTTTTGAGTCATAAATAATTTTCTTATAGTTAATCAACTTTATTTTTCACAAAATATAGATCAACTTTAAAAAAATCATTTCATTGCAATCAAGGCAATAAAGCCACTAAGACACAAAAGGGTTACTTAGTGACAAAGGATATGAGAAAAAGAAAGCTATTATTAAGGAGAGAGAGGACAATAAAAGAACAGGTATTAAGAAGGAAGAAGATAACGATAGATATGGCATTTAAATTTTTGAATAACAAAATTGGCTGGAAAGCAAGATGTAAGGAAGAGAGTTTCACAAGCGAGAAGTGAGAGAAAAGTAAACTTTTAGCAAAGACCTTACGGTTACATCTTGACATCTCAACTGTAAAATGATGAGACCTTGCCGTCAATCTAGTACTGCGTTTAAATTCATAAAGTCTAGGTACCACAGAGGAAAATTCACCTGAACAATTAACATGAAGTTATTTATACAAAAGTCACAGAGAAGCTACAAAATTTCAAGAGTGTAATTGGAAAAATTGTTCGTAAATTCAAACAAACTGGGTCGGTGGCAGATGTGAAAACACCATTGCGTTCTCGTTTACGCCGTTGAGCTGAAAACATTGATGCGGTGCACGAGAATATGACCGAAAATCTAGATACCTGTTTTCGTCATTCCGTACAGGAAAAAAAATCATCAGATTTTCTCTCTCAAAAAGAAATACTAATGATTACTCCTAATAAATGTATTTTATTATTTATACTAACAGTCATGCTGCTAGTACTCTGAAGTCCTTGAGTCCACGAGAACCACCTTCTCCCTCCTGCTCTTATGGTCTTAGCAGAACGTCGGAACATCCTCCACAAAAACGTTACATTGTTTCCAATTGCACTCTCGGTTGGTCGATTATGTTGACAAACTGCGTCAAGTGCATTTCTGTTTGAGCGTCCATTTTCGTAATAGGCTTCGATAACTTTGACACGCTGTTTGATCGTTTATATTTCCATGAATGAAATTTCCAAAGACTTAAGTTGTTAATTCGGAAAGAAAACGAACATAATCATTAGACGCTTAAAATTAATTCACATTTAAAATCTGTCCAAGTTATTGGAACGCCCTTCGTGTGTAGGGTCTGTCCAGTATTCAGTTTTCAGTCTAACTAGAACCCAAAGGCGTCCCCGTTACCTTGTGGGTGACAAATTATTTTCCCCCATGCAACCCCTTTCTCACAGACGAAAAGTCGCAAGCCACCTCGCTGTTCTGTCGGTATTTTCATGAAAAGTGTTCAGACGGAATACATTCAATAGTTTCACCAGTTCTATCCAACATGGCTAAGGTCCATCAGGTTACGGACATTGTAGCGAATCACTCTTTATTCCCCTATTTTTCCAATGCTGAAAGAAATCTTATTAAAGAAAAATGGCGGAGAGCGGTATTTTTTTAAAATAACATTTCTAGTTTATGCAGGCAAGTAAACAAAAATAAATAAACTGTTTAAAAAACGGTGTTTCTACTCAAATACGGATATCCACTAAAAATAGTGGTTAAAGTGATAAAGAGAGTTTCTTCAGATAGTTATATTTTGATTATATATATATATATATATATATATATATATATATGAAAATTTCTCTGATTTAACCAGTAGAGAAGACAATGTTTATGAATAAAAATGACAATAGGAAAACTGGTAATTGCTGACACGTTTCGTCCAATGTGGACTTTATTTTTATTAGTTAATTTGTTCAATTACTTTTTCATTTTCGTATTTTGCTTTGATAAAGTCCACATTGGACGAAATGCGTCAGCAATTACCAGTTTTCCTATTGTCACTTTTTTTATATATATATATATATATATATATATATATATATTCATAAATATATTTAATGAAACGTGTATATATATATATATATATTATTTATTAAAGACATTTTTTTATGTTTAACGTTCTTTTTTTATAGATACAAGTATTTAGTAAATGCTTGTTTTAATATATTCAAAAATTTCCTGAATGTCCGGAGAGAAAATATTCGTCCTTTGACATTCGACCTGCCTATCGAACGCTCCTTTGTGGCCGAGAGGTTAGGCACGTCAGCGTAAAATGACGGTTCCATATAGGATGCAGGTTGGAATTCTGTCAAAGAACGAATATTTTCTATGAAAATTTCTCGGACATTCAGGCCGGTAAATGTTATTTAATACTGTTTATTATAAACAGAGCATTTACTTAAATACTTGTATCTATAAAAAAAGAACGTTAAGCATAAAAATGTCTTTAATAAATAAATTGTCGGACTTTGTCCATTTCTTATATATATATATATATATATATATATATATATGTGTGTGTGTGTGTGTATGCACGCGTGTGAAATGTGTGTGTGCTTGTATTAAGGAAAAATACAATAGGAAAACTGTAGTTTTAGCCGAAGCGTTTCATTCAACGTCGACTTTTTCAAGCCCGAAAACGAAATGAATTTATTGAAACAAAATATCTATCTTAACAACAAAGAAAGTGTTGTTAGCAACTAGTAGAATTTAGAAACGCTATTCTCTATTCATATGGCCAGTAGCTTCTCAAAACTCTTCTCGTTGCTAATGACATTTTGTTTGCTGTTTGTAGATACTTTGTTTCAAAAAATGTATTGCTGATATTGCAATCAATTTTTACACTTTCGGGGTTAACGTTTTCGGGGTTAACTAGATAGATAGATAGATAGATAGATAGATAGATAGATAGAACTAACTAACACACAGACACAACATTGGTTCTTGATAATGATTGCGATATGTGAAGTTAAGTGAATAAAAATTACGGGCAGTTTACCAATATCTTTGGAAACAATGCTCAACAGCTTATCCGTAAATTGAAAAATTATTATCTATCTATCTATCTATCTATCTATCTATCTATCTATCTGTCTATCTTCAACCTCTCTCTCTATATAAATATATTGATCTCTCTCTCTCTGTCTCTCTCTCTCTATACATATATATATATATATATATATATATATTCAACATCTATATATATATATATCTTCATCTATCTATATATATATATTTATCTCTCTCACTCTCTCTCTATATATATATTCATCTATATATATATATATATTCATCTATATATATATATATATATATATATTCATCTATATATATATATATTCAACATCTATATCTATATATTCATCTATATATATATATATATATATATATTCATCTATATATATATATTCAACATCTATCTATCTATCTATATATATATATATATATATATATATATATATATATTCAACATCATCACTTGATCACTTGATAAGACACAGGGGGTGTTGAAACAAAATGGCTATTTTGTAGTGATTTTATAACATATTTATGTTATAATTTTTAAATAAATAATTATATATGCTCTACTCTGTATTGAGCACTCTTTTAAGAATAGTAATTGTCGGTTATTGGAATTTATTCCGTATACACCAATCATATATTTGTTAATATATATATATATAGATATAATATGTGAAAATATATAGAAAATAGGAAGGAACTGGTTAGGTGAATAGTCCAAAGTTCCTTAGTATTTTTGTTATTATTTTTAAAAAATAGTGCTCGATACAAAAGTAGAGCATAAATATAATTATTTATTTAAAAATATGATTCCAATATTTTTTAAATAATTATATATATATATATATATATATATATATATATATATATATATATATATATTGAAATAAAGTCCTTGGGTGTAAATGGTGGCTAAGGTTAGGTAGCTGATGAACAGAGGTACGATTTCTACCATAGGGCACACATTTATCTTAAATAAGATTTTTCTTTAAATTTGACTTTAATAAGATTTCGAACATTCGAGCCTCTAGGTGAAAATAAATAAATATACCTTTTAATAAATAAACGTAGAATTTACTCATAAACGAGTATCCACCAAAAGAAACGTTTAAAGTGATGCAAATCTGTCGGATTAATAAAAATAAATTCTAAAAATTTCTTTGTTTACGTTGTGATAAGAACCTCTGTGCAAACATGAAAAACTTGAGATAACTATAGCAAGATAAATTTTCCATGGAAGCATATATATATATATATATATATATATATATTTGCATGATATATATATATATATATATATATATATATATATATATATATATATATATATATATATATATGTGTGTGTGTATGTGTGTGTGTGTGTGTGTTCGCACAGTCGTATGCACATATATGTGTATATTTCAGCATACCGTCTGTCACTGATTATTCGGGAAAATCTTGAGATTATATACTTTAAAATAGTAGGCCTGTATGGTGTATAACTGAACAATTTCAGGTTGCTATCACCAGACCGTTTCTTCTTGGAAAGAATATCCGCAGACTATATGAATATTGTAAGCAAAATTAATGTCTATCGCAGTAAATGTAGGCATGCCTAAGTAAATTTCTTCTTCTTCTTCTTCTCCTTCTTCTTCTTCTTCTTCTTCTTCTTCTTAATTCCATCTTCCGTTTCTTCTTCATCATCTCATCTGATTTTTCATATTTCTTCCCTATTCACCCATCTCCTCTTCTTCCGTTTCTTCTTATTATTCTTAAATTAATCTTTTTTTTCTTTCCCATCATCTCATCCCCCTTTTCGCATTTCCTCCCTATTCATCCCATATTCTTCCTTTTCTTCTTTTTATTTGTTGTTGTTATTGTTGTTGTTGTCGCTGTTGTTGTTGCTCTTCTTCTTCTTCTTCGATAATCAAACGAAAGCGTTAAGACATCCGTCGATCTAGAAATATGTACCTTCCCTCTTTATATTGTAAAGCTGAATTGTCTATAGATTTTCTTTCCTTTTCCTTTCCTTCTTTTTTTTTTTTTTTTCCCTTTCCTCATTTCTTTCTTTCTTTTTCCGTTTCGTTTCATTTCTTTCGTTTCTTTCTTTCTTTCTTTTTTCCTTTCATTATCTCTTTCTTTCTTTTTTCTCGTTTCGTTTCGTTTCTTTCTTTTTCATTTCTTTCTTTCTTTCTTTCTTTCTTTCTTTTCTATTTTGCGTAACTTCATGATAATCTTCACCCCATGTCATTTATTTTCTTCTTTATCGATGCTAATGTTGAGTGCGAATGTCATTACTAATTAGGGACTTTGTCTGTTTCCTTGTTTCGTGTGTAACATATCGATCTTAAATTCCTCTGCAAGAGCTAACAATGTAGTATGTTTATTCTTAGAGAGATATACACACCACTACGAAAATCTGCTGCTCTTCTGTTAGAAGGAATTGTGATCAAGAGCCAATCGTTTGCGGAAAAACCATTAGTATGCAGCCATTTTCATAATAAGCTTATTCAACATAAACTGCATAAAATTACTTAGCCTAAAAATGTCATTTAATTTAAATAGAGATGCCTGTTCTCCTCGACGTCATTAACGCGTGCATATTGAAATATTTTACATTTCTTTTTAGCAGATGTTTCCAAGCGTAATGGAGGTTAAACATCAGCAGTGGACCTAAAGGATCCAATCCTATACTATTTGTCGCTCAGGAGGTTGTCTGTGAAAAGCTAAACAACTATCTTCTTAATAATAGCCTCACAAAACCTGCTAATGTCACTAAGGAAGTTGGTTGGACGGGGGTAAATGGTCACCAGCATTCTTGAAGCCAGGCCAAATAACTGAAAAGTTCCAAAGACTTGGGAAATATTTATCGTTAGAGAGCGGTTAAACAATTTTGCCAAGATAATCCAGGGCTAAATTTCTTCGGTACAACAACAGGGGTTTCAACCTTCGTAGAGTGTAGCCTACTGAAAACTCCCGTTTTTCTTCGATTAGCAAACTTAAGGAGTTTCGAGTCAGGTCAGTATTTAGATGGGGGACCGCATGCGTACGGTAAGCAACTTCTTGCACCCCGATATATGATTGTGTTTTAAATAACCCACAGAGTGTTGATAAGTCGTTAAAAAATTAATCAGACGTAGTATCATGGTCTTTTATGACTCGGGAAGTTTCATTTCCATTATTAATTTTGGGATAGATTTATTTTGATACTATATACAGAATGCGATGGGTAAATCTTCGGCAGTCTATATTTTTAATTTCGCGCATGCGTGTTGTTTGTTTTTGGATTTTGTCAACTGCACAATATAGTAGGGTCAGTTGGGCACCGTATGTTTGAAAAAGAGCACCATGACGCAATTTACTCCGCCAGAAATTTGGAAACGACATAATGTACTGCTTGGCATTCGCGCCGCGAGCTCCGATCGGAACATTTCAGTGTGTTTAGGTGCCAATCTGAGGTCAGTACAGAAAATTTGGAAAGAGTTGGAAACGGCGTTACGAAGGTACGGTAGCTAAAAATTCTATGCTAACAATTTCTTTTTTCACGCTTCTCGTTTGTGGAACTCCCTTCCGGCTCCATGCTTGCCGGCCATCTTTAACCTGCGGAAATTTAAATGCAATGTCAATCGCTATATATTTTTTCCCACTGATTACTTTTTCCGTTTCCCGCTCATTACTAATGTTTTTTTTTTTCTCATTCTTCCACACTCTAATCTCTTGTACCGTAGTGGCTTTCCTGCCTCGCATGGGATGATGCTGATTAAAAAATAAGCCTAGATCTGGTAAAAGGTCGAGTGTATGGGGCAACCAGGGAACAAATCCCGAATGTTTCCGGTATGGAAACTGATAATTCCACCATTAGCGTTACCGGGAACTTACGACCTGTCGCCTTTACACTAACATATGTTTTGGTTGTGATTGATCTGGCCGGTCTGTTTTGCGTTTGGTTTTTGTCTTCTCAACCTCAATCGGTTATATATGAGTTTGCTTGTTTTAAAACCTGTTTTTACACGTCTTAATACAGGTTTCGAGGGTTAACTATTTCCCATAGCTGAGACCCTAATTGTTAACCATGTTCACCATAGTCTATGAATAGAATACAGCGTAGTACGTAATCTGTTCAATGAAACAACGTTAAAGATTAACACTCACGAGTCAGACACTTTACTGAATCTGTCTATATCGCCAATACCACCAGCAGCTGTTCTGTAATTCTTTAGTCTTCGATATCAAAGGCTGGCAGTGCATATTCGGGAAAATAACATGGCCGCCTTTATACATGTCGCATTGAATATTTTGAGCCTTCTGATTGGTTAACCCTTCTATTGGTGAACTATAAAAGGAGTCAGCTCATTTTGGCTGGCTCACTAGTACACCAGGGTACCCAAAAAATCCAACACTAATAAGTGCTATCACCCCGAGTCAGGGTGAACCTGCGTACCTCAGCAATTAAGAGGTGGTTCGACGCTCCTCAAAACCTGATCAGAGGCCTTGCTGCCAGATGTAGCTTATCGACTTACCCAGGACGCGGATGGAGTTTATCGTCATACCCAGGACGGGATCTAGTCGGAGAAAATTTGCTAACGATTACACCAAGTCGCTGTGCCTAATGTTAAAACAATGATTGTGCTTTTTAGTCGATGTAGTTTTTGTTATCATGAACTCTTTGTAATCTCTAACCATACAGACAGTGGAGCAGAGAGGCCAAAACAAGAGATAGGCGATAAGGACAAAAGTTGAACAGGATTCAAGAAGATAGAAGATGACGATTGACGTTGCATTTACATTTTTGAAAATTGTAGTTATCAGTGAAGCAAGTAAACGGAAGGGAGTTTCACAGTCGGGAAGTGCTAGAAAAGAAACTGTTGGAGTAGAAGTGGTGGTTGCATTTAGCTATTTCAACAGCAAAAATTGTGGGACCTAGATGCCAATCTAGTAGCACGATTAAATTCATATAGTTGGAAACCGGGGGAAAAGCGCGTCAGAATTCATTCACCATCGGTCTAAATTTATTAACTCTTTTTATTAAAAGAGATTTTCAGGAAATGAAGTATCTCAAGTCTATTACATATTATAATCCTTTCTAATAACCTGCATTATGTTAATCCATATTGGGCAATAGCTGAATTTTCTACGGTTACCTACAAAGGTAAATATTAAAATTGTGCTTTAAAATTGTGTTCATCATAGTAACGATTCTTATGGGATCTTACCCATAATAATAATAATGGACTATTCCATACTTAATAAATACTGCGCCCCAGGGGTAGGCAAGGAGTTCAAGTCTAGTCAGTAGTTCAAGTCGAGTCAAGAGTCGAGTCAGAGGCAGTCCGAAACAGAGTCGCGTTCAGACAATTATTGCAAGACATTGGAATAGTGATACTATTTGAGACTGCATTGTTCTCTCTACTAAACCTGATTGTTCGTACTAACACTTTTCTACTTCTCAGTATATATTCCTGTTTCTAATATATCTGTGTTATTCCATATCCGTATTCGAGTTCTTCTTTATTGGTTCTACCTTGTACTATCACCGTAGTACAACAATGAAATTAGATTTTTCGTATAGTTAAACATCGACATTATTTGACCGAAGATAACGTTATTTTGGTTGAAATTTATTAAATACTAGGTTAAAAGCCACCCTATCGGGCGAAATTTAATCTAGCTCCCGCGGATAGCTCTTGATTGAGCCTTCATTGCAATAAGTAGAGAGGAGTAGATGCAAAAGGTATCAGCTTACGGTCAAATCACGCTGAAAACACCGGTTCTCGTTCGATCACCGAAGTTAAGCATCGTAGAGCCAGGTCAGTACTTAGATGGGGGACCGCTTGGGAACACCTGGTACTGTAAGCCCCCAAAGTCCAACCCTTACCTCACAGTCGGTGGGGGGGTGTAAACGGTAGTGTCAGAGCTATGCCACCCGGAACTTCTTTCCTGGTAGGGCCACCCAAGGCGGACAGGTCTGACACACGCACCGGCTAACAAGGGCTCTGGTGAAAATCCAAGGAGCGTCTGCATCGGTAACCGGCGGCTTCTGGTCGTTCCTGTCTCTGCGTCTGTGGGAACCCCGCGGCAAGCAAGAACGTTATCCAAGTAGGCCTGGGTAACCTACTTCTGTAATTTATCCCAAGAATCTTCTTCTCATAACAGGAAGAAGCCGGCTCAATCCGCCCAGGGTGAATGCCGCATCAGTACAGTAGTACAGTATAGTAAAAGGTATCAGTAAACTAAGGAAGAACTCAAATTTGATCGCTGTATTTAAGTATTGCATTAATACTTATGCTTCCTTTTAAAAGTTCAACCATAATTCTTCAGTCGCGATTTAAGTTAACGGCAATTTGATGTACGTAGGTTTATGGCTGACTTTCGCTGGATTTTGCAATTAATTTCGATTATTGCCAAATTTATTTCCAAGTTATAAAAATTGTTATCATACCAAAAAATTTATAACAGAAAATCATGTGAGAAAAATCGCCAAAAACAATGACAGTAATGAAAACTTAGGAATCCCAAATTTTAGGATGGCGAGTCTGGATCTGGCCCAGAATATTTTTAATTTGCTCACGGAGTTGGCCTGATTCCAAAATGGTATGAAATGTTGGACTACAGC